GCAGCCCAGTGCCAGGCCTGGAAGATGTGTTGATCAGCTACTCACCATTTCTTTTTTCTAGCAACGCCATCTTTTCCAATCCACTCATTTTTCCAGACAAAGGAAGACAAGGTTCAGATAAGTGATATGATTCACCCAAAGCCATGCAAATCATTGGTAGCATGGCCAGGAGTAGACTTCATGTTTCCTAATGTCCAGCTCACCATACCTCCTTTAGAAACATTTAAATGCTAACCATGTCCCTTTCCTTTTCCTCTATTGTCCCACCAGTTTGGGGCTATTTAGGAGTTATATCATGCACAAGTCACAGTCCTGGAATTTTGAGCTGAGTAGCCCTTATAAGTAGTGCATGCTTACATTCCTGTTGTGAGGGGAAACTCACTGCTTCATGGCCAGCCGGTTGTCACTGGGTAGCCCTCGCTGGGACATGTTCCTCCTCAAGTGGAGTTGAACCCTGCTTTCTAACAACCCCTCCTCTGTGTCCTGGCTCTGCCCTCATGCTACTGGCTCATCAGTTGCCTCTGCCCCAGGGCAGCCCTACCGAGATTGGGAGGCTTGACCAGCAACACTAGGCTACGCTCCTCCATACCAACCAGGAGTGGGTCTTCCTATCTTTCTTAGCCCCATGTGGGATTTGGAATGCCAATTCCCCTTTCTCATTATCAGGACACACAGTACTGAGACCAGTGGGGCCCAGGACTAAAGTCTTCTTGATTAAGGAGAAACAAACCAATGTGACCCAGTGGGTGCGAGGTGCTGGCCTTGCCAATGCACCTGTCATCAGCACTGCCCTACTCATATGGGCTTCCCTTCTCTGAGCCTCAGTTTCTTTCCCTGGGAGGATGGGGTGGGTGTCCAGGTGGGGCTGAGAGCACTTCTATTTCAGGACAGCTCAGAAACACTGCTGCGCATCCTACCTGAAGGAGAAGAGCTGCATGGCCGGTGTTGTGGGCGCCAAGGAGGGCGAGGCCTGTGGGCTTGAGGACAGGGACACCTGTGGCACCTCTTTGTACAAGGCAAGTCCGACCGCACCCTTTGTGGCCTGAGGGTCCTTGAGGGCTGAGGTTTAGGTTCCCCTGTGGGACTCCACAGTGAGGGTGATCCTCTCACATGGGTCAAGGGTCTTTTCATCTGCATAGAGAACATCAGCAGTTTTATATTGACCTACTAATTCACAAAATATATACTGAACACCAGTGTATGCCAGGCCCTATGTTAGGCATGAGGAATATAGAAACATGTAACACAAAAATCCTTGCTGTCTCTGGGTTTTCCTTGTAGTCAGGGAGACAGATGGAGATCAAGGTGAGTATGTTAATATTCAGTATATTAGAAGGTGATGGTGCAGGGAGGAAAAACTGAAGAGAGGATAGGGACAAGCTATGTCAGAGATTGGGAGGGACTGGAGTTTCATCTGCAGTGACTGGAGATGGCCTCACTGAGAAGGGGATGTTTGAGTAAAACCCTGCAGGAGGAGAGGGGTGAGCTGTGTGGACTTCTGTGGGAAGTATCTTCTAGGCCAGAGGTGTGGAACATCTGGCCCGGGGACCATATAAGGCCCACAAAATCTTTTGGTCTGGCCCTGCCAAGGCATTAGGGATGAGTTAATTAAATGTTTGACCAAATATAGCAGGCTAATTTTTAAGTTGATAATTTTGTATGGCCCTTGAATGACGTTATAAATATCCCATGTCCCTTGGTAGAAAAAAAAAAACAAAACGTTTCCCACCCCTATTCTAGGCAGAAGGAACAGCAAGTGCAAAGGTCTTGAGGCAAGTACATGGTTGGCATGTGTGAGGAGCAGCAAAGAGGCCTGTGTGGTTGGAGTGCAGTGAGTGAGGAGGGAGTAATAGTGATGGGGCAGAGAAGTGATGGGGCAGACCCTGTCCAGCATTATAAGGATGGGGGTTTGCTCTCAGTGAGGTGGGAGACACAGAGAGTTTTGAAGGGCATTATCTGGATCCCTTCTGCAGTTGTGGGGACCAAGAGGGTTCTTCTCCATGGACAGTGTGGTCAGGATGGAATTAAACCTCACCAGGCAGTCATGGAGCAGAGAGAAGAGGAGGGGGGGTTCTAGCAGAGGGAACAGTGTGAGCAAAGGTGCAGAAGCAAGAGCCGTGGAGTTCAGTGGCCTGCGGCAAAGCGGTGCAGCGGGAGCAGGCTGCGAGGAGTCCTCTGGCTCTTACATGAAGGACAGAAACTACTGCTGTGAGATATTTTGGGCTCCAGGCTGCAGGTATACAGGGCCCTGGGACGGATTTACAGAAAACCAATTAGTGTGTTAGGGCTCACGTTGGCCTCAGGTGGCAGGGCTAGGGACAAGACGTCAGTTTGGTTGCAAGTAATGGAAAACTCCCTAAACATTTCTTATTCTGTCAAAAGCTGGTAGTTGCAGGTCAGAACTGACAGAATGAGTGGCTCTGTGGTCTTCAGGGACATAGGTTTGTTTTGTCTTGTTGCCCAGCCAACTGGAATATGCTGCCTCCTTGTACAGAATGGCTGCTTGAGCTCCAGGCAGCAGGTTAGAAGGATGGGGAAGAGCCCCTCTTTAAATTATTTTTCATTGTGCCAAATACACAGAATGTAAAATTGACCATCTTTTTAAAAAAATATTTTATTGATTTTTTTACAGAGAGGAAGAGGGATAGAGAGTTAGAAACATCGATGAAAGAGAGTCATCGATCAGCTGCCTCTTGCACACCTCCTACTGGGGATGTGCCCTCAACCAATGTACATGCCCTTGACCGGAATCGAACCTGGGACCTTTCAGTCCACAGGCCGATGCTCTATCCTCTGAGCCAAACTGGTTTCGGCAAAATTGACCATCTTAATTATTAGTGTATAGTTCTGTGGCATTAAATACACTCGCACTATTGTACAACCATCACCATCATCTATCTCCAGCATACTTTCATCTTCCCAAACTGAAACCCTGTTCCATGTAGCACTCACACCCATACCCTTTCTCTCCGGCCCCTGCAACCAATCTTCTACTTTCTGTTTCTATGAATGACTACTCTAGGGACCTCATATGTATGGAATCAGTCTTTGTCCTATGTGATTGGCTTATTTCACTGAGCACAGTGTCCTCCAGGTTCACTTATGGTGTAGCAGGTATCAGAATGTCTTTTCTTTTGAAGTTGAATACTATTCAATTACATGTAAAAAGCACATTTTGTTGATCCATTCATTTTTTGATGGAGATTGGGTTGCTTCTATCTCTTGGGTTGCTTCTATCTCTTGGTTGTATGACCAAGGTTCCTGTGGACACAGGTGTGAGAAAAGTCCCTCCTTTGAGGACAGACAGTACTTCCACTAACAGCACATTAGCCTGAACTTAGGCCAGTGGTCACAGCTAGCTGAAGAGTGACTGAGAAATGTAGTCTTTATTCTGGAGAGGTCACATGTTCCACTGAAAATTGGGAAGAAGGGAAAGCAGACATTGAGGGCCAACGCCTGGCTGGTTGTGCAGCAGAGGATGGAGCAGCCCAGGGCAGTGAGCAGTCTCAGGAGCATCATTAAAAGAGATGTTTAGGGGAGAGAGTGTAAGGAGTTGGAAGAGGGGTTACAAACCTGAATGCCTAATAGGGACATTTGGAGAAGGGTAACATTTGGGAAATGATTTGGACTTTAATTTTTATCATGGTGGGTCTATTTTTTCTAAAAACAATTGATATTAGGGAAAGGACTTTGGTGACAGAAAAGTTTTGAATCTCACTTTTGTCTGTATGTTTGACCCCTTTTTTGAGCCTCAGCTTGTCCATCTATAAAATGGGGATGATGATAATATATGTCTTATGGGGTGGTTGTGAGCTTCAGAGGTAAGAAAAACTAATTTATTAAGTACATGGTGGGTTTTGACTAAGTGGAAGTGGTTACTATTGGATGATTCAAGTCTGGAGTACAGGTTATTGCTATGTAACAAACAATCCCAAATCAAGTTATTCATGACTAGCCTGTCTCATGAGATAGTTTTGCTGATCTGGGCCATGCTCAGCTGATCTTAGCTGAGCTTACTTAGGAGGTGTCTGCTGCCAGCTGATGGCTCCCCTGGCACTTTATGATTTAGGATGTCTGTAGCTGGGATGACTTTTTTCTACTCTATGTAGTCTCACAACTTGTAGCAGACTAGCCTTGGCTTGTTTAGTTAGTAGTGAGCATGGTTCCAACACAGGGAATAAAAGTGTGCAAGGCGTTTTGAGGCAGGGGCTCAAAACTGGTGTGTTGTCACTTCTGTCTCATCCTATTGGCCAAAGCAAGTTGTGAGGTGCTACCAAGAGTTAGAAAATAATCTCCCTTCTGATCGGAGGAACTACACTATCACATTGCAAGACAATGGACACAGGGAAGAGGACATGATTTGGACTATCAATCAACCACAGTAGTTTAAACAATTAAAGATTTTTTTAGAGGTGAGCAGTCTGGGACAGGGGTATAGCTAGACAGTAGCTTCAGAAACTCTGGAAAAGAACTCTGGAAAATGAAATTCTATTTTTTACTCAGTCATCTTTAGCTTTCCCTTCCATCTCGAAGGTCATTTCATGTCCCAAGACGGTTGTTAGAACTCCAGCCACCATATCTCTTTCAAAAAAGGAGGAAGAGGCTTGTGAAAAGGATGTGCTTTCAAGTTGAGTCAGCCCAGTTCAAAGCTTTCCTGAAAGCTCTACCCAGTGGTCTCCTAGAGTCAGTGTGCTAGTCAGTGGGTGGAGTGGATAGGCCTAGGGGTAATTTGCAGTTCTTTTAATAAAGGCCATTGATTAATTATTTCAAAAGACTTGCATTAGCCTTACTCTGAGCTAGATATGGGGAATTGGAGAGCACACACTAGAAAGAATAAACAAGACAAGGTTAGTTCACTCTCTTTTATCAGCTCCTCTGCTGAGCCTGAATCAGGCTGCTTCCTTGGGGCTCTCAGTGAGCCACATAGGCTCACAGACCCAGGGGAATGCAGGTGGGCTCTGGGGCCCAGGCTGTAGCAATGACTGCATGTCTCCCTCCAGCAATGCTGTGACTGCTGTGGCCTGGGGCTACGTGTGCGGGCTGAGGGCCAATCTTGCGAGTCCAACCCCAACCTGGGCTACCCCTGCAACCACGTCATGCTTTCCTGCTGTGAGGGTGAAGACCCCCTTATCGTGCCCGAGGTCCGCCAGGCTCCGGAGCCCGAGTCTGCACCACAGAGAGGTGGGTATTGCCTTATCCTGAGCCAGGGTCTATAGGACGGTTGGGTGAAGAGTAGAGAGCTTTTGGGGCTTCTAGGCAATGCTGGGTGCCCTAGCCTTCTGTGGAGACTCTGGGTCCACGGACATTGTAGCGTGGGGCACAAGTTCTGTACCACAGAGTTCCTCAGTGGCTGCTGAGAATGGATTGAGGCCTGTCATTTCCAAGATGGTGATTTCATTCAGTTTTCCAAGTACTATTCACTTCACCCACTGAACTACCAACTACCTACTACCTATCACCTTCCACTCTCATCCAGGCTTTTATCCATCCATCATCTCACCCATCTCCCACCCATTCTCTGGTCTATTTTGCCATCCATATCTCCACCCACTATACCATTCATTTACCATCCCTCATCTATCCATTCTCACATCCACTCATCCATCCACTCATCTCCCCCACCCATCTGCTTACCTGTTTGCCTACCCATGTCCTCACACATTCATTTACTCATCCATTTGTTCATCTATCCATCTGTTTGTCCATCCATCCATCCATCCATCCATCCATCCATCCATCCATCCATCCGTCTGTCCATCCATTGGTCTTTCTATTCATCTTGTTTGTCCATCCATCCATCCGCTCATGTATTCACGTCCCCAAACCTTTCACTTATCCATCATTCACTTACCTTTGTTCATCCATCCTCCATTCCTCTCACCTATGCCATTCTTGTGTCCTCAGGGAACAGGGTATAATTGGAATGGAGAATGCATTTGTAAATGTTTCCCCACCTGTCTGATTAGCCTCTTCAGGCTAGCACTGCCTTTTATGCTTATATTAGAGGCCCAGTGCATGAAATTCATGCATGGGGGTGTGGGATGTCCCTCAGCTTGGCCTGCACCCTCTCCAATCTGCCAGTTTAGTCCCGATCTCGCAATCCAGGACCTCTGGCTCCTAACCACTCACCTGCCTGCCTGCCTAATGCCCCCAACTGCCCTCCCCTGGCAGCCTGATCACCCATAACTGCCTTTGCTTCAGCTCCCACCACCATGGCTTTGTCTGGAAGGATGTCGGACATCCGAAAGATGGCTGGCCAACCCAGTCTATTTAGCATATTACTCTTTTGTTAGTATTGATTTTTAGCCTGGCCCTGTGCTTGTCCCAGAAGTCACTAGCAAATGTCTGAATGAATGATGGGTTTGTTTGGTGTCCCCCCTTCACCTCCAGACCACGAGTTCTCTGAGGGCTAATCAGACCTGTGCCCTTACCCTCTCTATCCTTATCTGGCACTGGTCCCCAGAAGCCATAGGGGGACCAGTGTGTGTGTGTGTGTGTGTGTTGTGGGGTAGGGAGCTCCAGGTATCAATGTGGGCCATGGAGCCTGCATTTGCTCTTGCCTGAGGGTCAGGAGCCAGGTCTTAGAACTTCCAGTCCTCAGTGTCCCTGGGATCTCCTCCCTCCTGTGCCCTCTGTGTGCTGTGATCATTGTTTCAGCTGCCAGATTCAGCCTCTGTCACCCTATCTAATACTATCTCCTGGACTCAGGGCCATTAGCCTTCTTTGTGCCTCTGGGCCAGCAGGAACCCAATCAAGATGTGCCAGTGAGTCAGTAGGTGGTCTTTGTGGAGCTGGGCCTGTAGCCCTGGGGCTGGTGTCATGAAAGCCCTGGTTGGCCACTTCTGCAGGTGTTCATACATTCTGCCTTGACTAGCCAGAGATCACGTGCCCAGGAGGGTTCCAGAAGCACAGGCCTAGTCCTTTCTACAGCTTTGTGGACCATCTAGGGCACTTATGGGCCTGACCTGGGCACCTCAAGGATTGGGAAACGAAAATCCCAGAGATGGTCCTTGCATCAAGGTTAATGTATGGCCCTTGGAGTCCAGCAGGCTGATTGGAATCCCAGGTCCACTGTTCTTCTCAGCAAGTCATGGGCCTTCTTGGAAACTTTGTACGACACAGATTCTTCTCTCCTCCTCACTCCATGTGGGGAGGGATGGCAGGATGCTCATCAAGGGCTTGTGGTTCCTGACCCTGTTACTATCACCATGTTTTCATATCCAGATGAGGAAGGCTCACTTTGCCCTTGTACAAAGTTGGGACTACCAGTAGACTCCTGTTTTTGACATGGGCTCTGGTGTACTGGATTTGACCAGACCCAGTCCATTCCTGGGTCTCTGGCCTGATAATGCAAGACAGTGGAAGTCTGGGCATGGGAATTAGATGCCTGCTGTTCATGGGAATTATACCTGCTGTCCAAAGTCAGGACTTCCTGAGAGAAACCTTGTATCCTGTGGGTACAAAGTTTGCTGGATGTGATGGTGGGCCCAACAGAAACCAGCATGATGGGGCAGTGACAAGTATATGGAGGGTGTCCAGGCCAGGGGAAACTGACAGGATGAAGGGATTGGTCGGCCTCAGCAGCCAGCATGGACACAAAGGCTGGCCAGTCCAAGGAAGTGCCACATGATGAGGTTAGATCTAGGGGCTGCTTGAGCATGGGTGTAAAGGACAGGGTAGCAACCATAAGTCTGATTCAAGGTAAAATTTGGGAGGAAGTCCAGATTCAGGGGTCAGAGGGTAGACATAGGGCCAAGAAGGGTCAAGAGCCAGAAGTTTGAGTTTCTCTCCTTCAGTGACTAACTGGTGGGTAACCTGGGCCTCAGAGGACACAACTGGCAGGTCAGGTCAACCTGGGTGCCATTCCTACTCAGGTGACCTTGTGCAAATCAATATGCTCCTCCAAACTTCAGCATTACCGCTGCTGGGGGGATTATTGTGAGACATGTGCTGATGAAGTGGGCTGAGCATGAACCCTGCAGCATGACCAGCAACTTGCCCAGCAGAGCTGGGCACAGGGTCATAGGGCTGAAACATCAGCCATCACGACCATTCTATAGGTGCCAAGCCTGGACTGACTGGGCTGGAGCTTAATGTAAATGCCTTCAATATGAAACACGTTCTTCAGATGTAAGCATATGCAGTTGCTCCCTTGAGGGGGTTGGTGGCCTGGTGCTGGCAGACAGTTGGGGCCCCAGGCTAACATGGAGTGGAGATGGGTTTCTGGCCTCTCCCTTTTCCATGACTGTATATCAAGAGCTTTTTAAGGCAGCTCGGCCCTAGAAGCCTTCTCTCCCACTCGCATCGGCTCCCCAATGCAGCCTGGAAGGCATGGAGAGACCTAGTGCTGGGAAAGTTCAGATCTTAATCTGATGGAATCCAGTTTTGGGGCCCTTTCTGTTGCTAGGTATTGTCCTCCCTGATGTCCCTGAGGTCAGAGGTCTGAATCCTATTTATCACTTTAGCCAAAGCTTCCTGAGGGCTTTTGTGGACCTGGCTCTGATGGGTTCACTCTTATTGTTGAGGTTTGTCCACCCACCCATCCTTCATCCATCCATCCACTCATCTTTTATCCATGCACATTGCCTCAACTGGGCACGCAGAGTTCTGATGAGGACCTGCACTGATTTTTGGGGGGCCTGAAGTCTCAACCACCTGCTGGGGCCAGCGCAGCTCCCATCATGAGCACTGACTCCTGCCCAGTTTCAGAGGTGCAGTTGGGGAGCCGGGAGGCCCTGTCACTGGGCATGGAGACTGAGGTGCCCAATAGCCTGCCCGGTGATGACCAGGATGAGTGCCTTCTCCTTCCGGGGGAGCTTTGTCAGCACCTCTGCATCAACACTGTGGGCTCTTACCACTGTGCCTGCTTCCCCGGCTTTTCACTGCAAGATGACGGCCGTACCTGCCGCCCAGGTAAGCACCTGGACAGGTAAGCACCTGATCTTGCCAAGCATTGTGGCACTCCAGGGGACTACAGGGTACTTCTCCTTCCACCCCACACATTGGAACCTGCAGGATCCGAGGGTCTCTGGTGGTGGGCCTTGTAAAGCCAGGCAGATAGGCTCCTTTCCGGAACTGTCTTCAGGGTACACCCAGTGCCCTGCTCTGGGTTCGGGGGCAGAGCTAGGACTCAAACCACATAGGCTCCCATCACCTAATCTGTGTCCCCAGTGTGGGGCCCATGGGTGGTTAAGCCACAATAGTTAGCCTAGGAGGTTGCCACAGCCCCAGTCTGGGGGGACTTTCTGCCAGCTTCCAGGAATAGATTTGTCAGTCTAGAAATTCATTCCTCTTTTTCCTTTTCCTCTGTCCTAAATATCTTACCTAAAGTGAGATTGCTACCTAACCTACATTGCTTCCTGAGCCTCAGTTTCCTCTCCTGTGAAATGGGTGGGGAAGGATTTAAATGAGGCAATTCCTGTCAAGTGCTGGCATGGAGCCTGTTAGAGCCTATGTCCTGGCTGAAGATGTGTGACAGACCTTCTCTCCTCTCTGCTCTGCCTGGGACAGACAATGGCCCCCCAGCGGCTGCAGAGGAGTCTGCACTGAGGCCAGAACCTTCCCAAGTGGCCCCCAACACCATCCTACTACCACGGCCACAACCCAACACCTGCAAAGGTAAATTGTGTCTGGGGATTGGTCTGGCCTTGTGCTAGATGGGGTGCTTCTGCTTGGAGGGTTGGTTGGTCTTGCCTATCTGAACTCAGTGTAGTTGAGGAGGTGAGAGTTGTGGGGAGGGTCTGCTGGGGTGAGAGAGGGTGTGAGAATAAAGGATAGCCTGGGCGATTGTATGTGACCCCAAGCAAGCCAATTAGCTACTTTTTTGGCCTTAGTTCCTGTGAAATTTTGCTTGTGGAACTGTTATGCAGACAATAATGTGTAAAAGCTCTTTTTTTCTGCTCCTGACTTTCTTGGTCCTCCTTTCTGCATCTGCTCTTTATTCTCTTTCTATCTCCACCTCAATCCCATCTCTGTTTCTTGAGGGAAGCTTTGGTGTCCAAGTGGTGGTGGTGGCGGCGGGAGATCTAGTCCATTATCTCAGACACAAGCTGAGGTATGAGCCAATTTAACAGTGAACTTGGAAAAGGGGGCAGGAGTGAGACTCCTTGGCTCCCAGTCCCTATGCCTGTAGGATAGACAGAAGTGATGAGCCTGCTCTGATTTCTGTGCATTTCCTCTCAGACAATGGGCCTTGCAAACAGGTGTGCAGCATTATTGGAGACACAGCCATGTGCTCCTGCTTTCCCGGCTATGCCATCATGGCAGATGGTGTGTCCTGTGAAGGTGAGTGCCATGGGGGTTACTCTCATACCTGTGCAAACCTGAGTTCCTACGGTCAGGTCCCCCAGAGATTGAACAAACAGAATGAAGGAGGTAGTCCATATCTAAGACTTAGAAAATTAGTGAGGAAACAGGTTTGGCTGCTTTGATGAAGAGGCCCAAATATAATAGCTTACCGAGAGATTCCTTTCATGTCACCATGCACAGGTGATCTTACAGTCTCGGGTGGACACACAGATTGGCCAAGACCCCACACCTCTGTTGTTATGTCTGCTGTTCTCTAAAGCAGTGCTTCCCAAACTTAAGCATGCACCAGAGCCAGCTGGAAGCCTGGTGACAGCATGGACCCTGAGAATTCTGTAGAATCCCCAGAGAGCTTCACCCAGTAGGTCTGGAGTGGGGCCTGAGAATTTGTATTTCTCACCAGACTCCAATTGCCCTGTCCTTGAAGGTTGCCTGTTTGTATGACCAAAGTCTATTCTGACCACATTGTCCCCGTTCCAGCCATGGGTAGAAAGAGGGAATTACTCTAGGGCAGGACCTGGAAGTGGCATTCACCCCTCCCATTTGCCGCTGATGGGGAGCAAGACTAGGGAGTAAGAGTCTCAACTGGATGGCATATACTCAGTTCTGTTATTGAAACCAAGGAGGGGAGAGTGGATGTTTGTCATGAACAAAGGGGTTGAAGAGGTTCCAAAAGCATGTCCTTTTCATGCCTTCAACCCTGCTAGGTCTGGATCTTGTCTCAGCAGGGCCTCAGTCAGCCACCCTTCCTCCTGTGAGATGGGGCATTGGGCCCAACACCTGTTGGGTGGCTTCTACAGTGAATGGTGCCTTGGGAACAACTTGAGAGGCCTCAAGACTGCATCTATTCATGTCTTGAGTCAGGACAGACATGGAGCAGGCACATGGTCTAACACATACTTCAGTTCAGGTTCAAGTTCAGGAGAGGTATTCCTGGTGAGTTTTGGGGGTACCAGGATTAAGTCTGTCAGGAAAATGCCCACATCCCTGCCAGAAGCGGAAACCCATATCTAAGCCCTTGGCTGAGACAGTTTTCTGATTTGTATTAAAACCATCCAGTGCCCAGAGAAGACAGGAGACATGCTCAGGGCACAGCATGTTGATGACTGGCAGGCCTTGATCTCAGGTGGTAGGGTCAGATCTCAGATACTCTCTGGGCTTTGTTCCCCATCTCTTGGGGTCTTGAAGACAGAATGTATATCTCCGGGGCTGGGATTCCCTTGGACCTAGTCAGGCTGTAGGCCAGTATCTGCGTCTCTCCAGGTCTCTCTCCTTGCAGAGTCCCCAACAATAAAGGCTGAGGGTTCCAGGCCAGAGGTCAGAGACAGGCATTCTGAGGGTGCAACTTAGCCAGCAGGGGAGTCCTGCTGGGCTCTATCCTATTTAAAATAATCAAATGAGTTCCCAACCATGAAAACCTCAAGAATTAAAAAAAAAAATCCAGATTTCTGTTTTCAGGCCCACAGCTCCGTCCCTCTGAATAGAGCACAGGCCCTACAGTGCCTGCAGAGCCTCCTCTGGGACCTCCTCCCATTATGTTGCCAGCCTGACCTCCAAGGACTTGAGTTTGCAGCCACTGCTTGTGTGGCCCCAGCTTCCTGTGGAGATGAGCACCTCAAGGATGTGGGGGCAGACAAACTCTGCCTCTGCCCACTTTGACAGTTGGCAGGCAGGCTGCTTACCCTCTCTGATTCTGACCTTACCACCTGTCCTTCTGGGATTCTAGCATTGACTGTACAAACTCATACTTGGGCCCAAAGCCCAGAGGTACCACTGATGGGCTGGGAAGTCCCCAGCTGGTGCCGTCCCTCTCTAGGCCTCAGTTTCCCTGACTGTGACTGGATGCTCCGTGACAGGCTATGCCCTCTAATGGCCCTTGTTTTTCCTTCTGCGGCTGTCACTAGACCGAGACGAGTGCCTGCTGGGTGCTCACGATTGTAGCCGGCGACAGTTCTGTGTGAACACCCTGGGATCCTTCTACTGTGTCAACCACACAGTGCTCTGTGCCCAGGGCTTTATCCTCAACGTGCACAGGAAGTGCGTGGGTAAGCGAGAGCCCCTGCTGCTGCTCTGCGCCACACCGAGCCCATCACACATGCTCCAGGGCCTGCCCTCTGCACTTGAGCTCTCAGCACAGCTGGCTCCCTATGTCATGTCCTGCGTGTTCTGGTGTCCTGTCCTGTTTCTCCACTGATGCCCCTGGGAGGCTGCTTTCCCCAAGGACCTGCCTGAGAGTCAGAAAACTCTAATTGATGTATGACTTGGCTGGGTCACTAGGACAAGGAGGTCAGACCTGTGGCAGCAGGAGAGAGTGTGTGAGACCTGGAGGCAGGGGCCTGGGTGTGAAGCAGGACCCTCCAGTATCCCTCTGGCCTTGGATAAATGACTTCCATTTCCAAGCCTCAGTTTATTCATCTCTAAAAAGAAGGCACTGAGGACCCCAATTCTCCTCAGAGATTATATTACCTGTGTATGTGCTATAGCAGAGGCTGGGCATAGTGACCATGTGATGACAGGTGTTGAGATTGCCCTTAGATGTATCCAGACTCCCCTCCAGAGGTGAATGGATAAAGCCACATCTGAAAGACCAGCTTTGCACTCCAGTGCTGTGTTATTTGCTGTGTTACTATGAGCCATGGGGCTTTCCTTTGAGACTATTTCCTTCCCTCTAACCTCAGAACTTGGAGGACTGCACAGGCTGGTGCCCCATTCCTGCCTGCACATGGTGCATGGTAACATCTTGTCCTACCTGCCTCGCAGTGCCTGAGTAGCTGGGCACTGGGGCTCCTAGTGTGCTCTTTGGCCAGCGAGGTGGGTGTACTTGATGTTGACCCATATCTGGAGGAAACGTTATAGACCCGAAGTCACAGGGACTTGGGCAGACTGGGAAGTGCTATGGAAGAGACAGGCCAAGGGAGAGGCCATCCTAGCTGTGGGTCTGCACCTGCCTCCTGTTTGCACCTGCCTCCAAGGACAGCAAGGACTTGCTGGTGGAAGGAACAACCCACACAAAGGTGTGGTATGGTGGTAGGAACAGTGCAGGTGCGATCAGGGCACATATCCAGAGGCCAGTCCATCATCCGTGTGTTTAGGGACCATGTACAGGCTGAACATGTTTGTTTCCTCGCCATCTGCTGCTGGTCTGATAGGCCGTGTGCTGGGCTGTGCAGCCACTGCAGACATGTTTGCCCTGGCCTCTAGCCATTGGCACAACATGTGCCCTCCATGTGCTTGCCAGTGGTTGGGCAGCTCTTCCTGTCTGTGCTGTGTGTGTGTGTGTGTGTGTGTGTGTGTGTGTGTATGTGTGTGTGTCTGGGAAGACGGGTCCCAAGCCTGGCAGCATCCTTCCCAGGATGCCTGCCTGCTTGCCATGGCGACGGGTATAGCTCTGCTGGCAGCCTGGAGAAGAGACAATGTGCTAAAAGAGGTGCTGGGCAGCTAGAAAGCAGACTCTGGAATTAAAGGAGCAAAGGTCCATTTCATTTGCCAAGTTTATTGAGTGCACATTTTCACTCATTTCTTCTCTACTTATTCATCCTGCACAGACTACTCAGGGTCTCTTCTTTGTCCTCCTCGTCCACTCACATGTTCATCTTATCTGTTACAATCATTGTTTCTATCATTCTTCATCAACAAATGTGTTCTTGTATCTTCTGCAGTTCACTTGTTAGCTCCAGGCATGTTTGGTAACCCCAGCCAGGAGATTGGAAACTGGTGCCCAGATGAAGATAGTGTTTGCTGCAGCCAGACTGCCTGGGTTAAAACCTTGGCTCTGCCACTTTTTAGTTATAAGACCTTAGACGTGCCATTTAACCTCTCTGAGCCTCATTTTCCTCCCCTGTGAAATGAGATAGTAATAGCACCCACCTCAAAGGATCACTGTGGAGATTAAATGTATAGAATTTACAAGTATTTGATGTCATTATTGTGATTCAATACATGTGTTATACTGAGGCAGCCTGCTCAGGTAGTGAGTTTTCAATTACCAGAGGTAAAGTAGGACAGTGTTGGGTGGTGCCAAGTCCAGAGGACCTGTGATGGACATGTGACCTCTGTGAGCACTCCCCTGTGCCTTGCTGTTTGCCTTTTGTGCCTTGCCCTTTAAAAACTGTATAGGCTCCTGGGAAAAGTGTCCAAGGTGGACTGGGCTTTGAGAAGATAGGAGGGGAGCAGTCTCCAGCTCTAGGGCCTAGCTCACAGCAGGGGAAAGGGCACAGTTCTGGGCTGGGCACTCAGGGATCTGTTCTTGCTGCTGCCCGTGTAGACTGTGTGGCTTTGGTCCAGCCACATCCCCTCTGGGAGACCTGTGGCAGAATGACAGTTCCTGTGCACTGCCTGGTGCCTGGCAAGCCTCAGTCAGTGGTGTCTGCTGTTGTTTACACCAAGATTCCTCCCAGGATCTTGGCTCCTGTCTTGGCTCCTGGGCTTTGGTGTCTCTAGGGTCCTGGGATATGTCTCCCTCTGTTAATCTATCCTGCAAATCAGAAGTTCTTATTTTGCCAACCAAGCCTTCCTTGGAAGCCACTGACCCAGAACTTTTTCTTTTCCTACCCCAACCCCATCCAAACCAGAGTTGGTCTGGCCTTAATCATTTGTTTCCCCTGTGGGTTTGGGAGAGTCTCTTTGCCCACAGACCTGCCTCCCTCCTCTCTACCTGATTCCATCATCCTTGTGGACTCTCCTCCTGAGCAGAGACTTACAGTAGATGGTGCTCTGCCCTGGGTCTGGTGACAGCTTTCCTCCTGAGTTGCCACCCTGCCTTTCCTGACTGCCCTGCCAGGCTGACAGTTCCTTGAAGGCAGGGGGTGGTGACACTCCCACTTGACCACTTGGACCTAGCATCACAGAACAGGCACTAGTGAATTGACAGTCAGTGAGTGACTGCCCCCACCAGACACAGCTTGCAGGCTGGCACTGCCATGTGTCTGTGTGTCTTTGCACCAGACCTTTGGTAATGCCAGAGTTGGGAACTCTCCAAAGGCTCTCGTCCTTGTTGCTGCTGCTTCTCTCTCCCTTTCCCACTGCTCATCTGGGAATCAATCCTTGGCCTCTTCCTTCTATGCCCTGTCCCCCAGATGAGTCCAGCAGCTGCCCACTCTCAGACTAGTATCTCTATGTAGATCCCTTCAGTCAACTCACAGGTGTGTCTCCAGCTGCCTCTTGGCTCAAATTCACTGTGGCCTCAGGGCTCTCATCCTTCCCCTGTGAGCCTACTTCTCCTGGCCACCCTGTCCTAGGTGCTAGTGTTCACGTGTCACCTACTTGGCCAGGAAGCTTTGCAGACATCTTGGCTCCTCTTTTTCTCTCACCTTATCTCAGTTACTGGTAGATCCTGTTGGTCCCATCATCCCTGCATTTTTTAGAACTGACTGCTTTTCCTTGCCTCTTCGTATGGCAGTCCAGCATCTCCTAACAGCTTCCATTTTCATCCCGGAAGTGTTCACACCCAGCCAGCTCCTACTCCCTTCCACATCCCCTAACATTGTTCTCTACCCTGTAGGACACCATCCTGGCTGGCCCTTGGGCCTGCCTAATGGGCCTCTTCAGTGCCTTGGCATTGGCTCTCTCCTCTGCCTAGAACATCTGCTGGGCTCATTCCTGTCACTCCTTCAAATGCTTGCTCCAATGTCCTCTTCTTTGAGGACCCTTCTCTAATCCTCCTACTTAATGTGGTGAGTGCCCACCCGTCCTCAGCACTCCTCTTCTCCTTCACCCACAGTGTTCATGACTGCCATTCCTATTACACATCTGCTTACACAGCCATTGGGCCTCCACTTTTTTAGTGTCCCCAGAATGACAGTTTCACCTGTATTGTTCACCATAAATCCCTGGTGCCAAGAACAGTGCTTGTTGGCACATGGCAGGTACTCAGTAAATCTCTGTCCAGTGAATGGATGCTTAGGTGGATGTCAGCACTGTACTAATTTGGGTAGTGGGCACCTTGAGGGCAGTGCTGGCTGCATTCAACCACCGCCCAGGAAGCACCCTGTATGCAGTCTCTGATGGCATCACTCTCCTTGCAGATATCAACGAGTGTGTGACAGACTTGCACACGTGCAGCCGGGGTGAGCACTGCGTGAACACAGTAGGCTCCTTCCGCTGCTACAAGGCTCTCACTTGCCAGCCGGGCTACACTCTCGAGGAAGGCGAGTGTGCAGGTGAGGACAGGTCTGCAGGCCTTCCCCTGATCTGTTGCCTGACCTACTTTCACCACCTTCCCACCCTGTCCAGACCCACCCCTGACCTGCCCAGAGTCATGCACTCCCAACACTTAGGTTTTATGCCTTTGGGAAGACTCCACAAATGATGAATTTGAGGTAGAGGGGGTTTCTGAGGCCGATGCGGTAGGCTAGGATGTGCTCCTGGCTTTGCTACCATCGCTGGTGTCTGGGTACTTATCCCCTTGCCATGCCTCAGTTCCCATTTGTATATTGGAGTGGAGCTCCATAGATCACTTCTATCCATTTTACTGGAAAATTCTAGCTTCCTAGAAAGCGGGAGAATTTTCATTGAACCTCTTCCTGTGCTTATAGGTTCTGGGTGGCAGGAACATGTGATAGGCATGGTGTCCTTGTTCCTGATCTCCTGATGAGGGACATGAGGCCACACAGGCAAATAAGAAGATGGCAGAGCAGTCTTGGCTGGGTGCTCTATTAGTTGGGGATTCAGAGAGGGCCTCTGTGGAGGTAAAGTCAGAGTGGAGATCTACATAATGAGAAGCTCTTGGGAAGGGTATTCTAGGCAGGGGAACAGCAAGTGTGAGGTTTTTTTTTCAGAGGAGAGAGATTTTGACACAAAAAACAGAGAATTTCAAGTTTTGGAGCAGGAATGCCAACAGCTTGGAAGGAAGGCACAAGATCCGTAGACCCTGTTAGGAAAGGAGCTTGGAGTCTGTTTCACATGTGATACATTTTGTTTTTAACTGAAAATGTCTAGAAGAACATCACCAGGGAGGACAGACCTCCTGAAACGCTTGTTTGTTACAAGTCCCCGAGGATAATGAGAAGGAGCCCTGAGGTTGGGTGTGAGCTCAGGGAGGTAGATTAGTACAGTCCTGTCTGGCTCTAAGTTGATGGTGAAGTTGGAGGTTGGGTGGGCTAGGAGGAGAAATGAGCCCAGCCCCCTCTGCCTATCTGAGTGCACACCCGTGACCACCCACAAGGGCAGATGCAGATCCAGGGCCAGCTCCTCTCAAAGAAGCCAGGCACCTGGGGAGGAGTGCCACCTCTCTGGACATGCCCCGCATCCCCTAACCCTCTATCAGCTCAGGCTGCCGGGCTCCGTGGAGTGTGGAAAGGCTGCCTCTCAAGCACCAGGTGGTCATCAGACAGGGGCTGTGCACATTCATGTCCAGCTGCCTGGAACACAGTATAGGGCCCCCTAGAGACTGGGCTGCTGTGGGAAAGTGGTGGAAGCTTTGGAAACCAGAGAGGGAATGGAAGGACAGAAGACATACAGACTCATGGGCGTTGGTCTGGCTGTCAGTGAAGCCTAATGAGTTTTGGCATGCCCTTAATTCTGTGCCACCTTTCTGCTCTGCCTGTTTCCTGGTCTGTAAAAAGCGGTCTGATTGCCTGTTGTGCAGGAATCACAGGAAAGTAGAGGGCCAGTTCTGGGTAAACCAAGGAGCACTGTGCAGAGGTGGGGGCCTGTTCACCTGCTCATTGCCATAGTAGGTAGGGGCAGCAACTCCATCCAGGTCTGGCAGCTCCACCCTCAGAAGCCATGAGCCTTGTTGCTGCCAACGTCACTTCTAGAGAAGTCTGGGCACATGGCCTTAGGGATCTGAGCTCAGGCCCCCATTTTTTCCTACCCAGGGAAGCTTGGGGCAGTGGTTAAGGGTGCAGGCCCAGCCAGCACCCACTAGCTATGGAATCATGTCTGTGCTTCGGCTCCCCCTGTGTAAGAAGGGGCTTGCCATAGCCCCTACTTCCTAGGGTTGTTGTGAGCATTAAGTTGATAAATACATCTGTGTGCTGGGGACAGTGTCCGGTACCATGGAAGAGAGCTTAGTAAATATGGCAATGTCATCATTTCATTGTTATTGGGTATGGGCTGGCAGCGACAGTGCTCTGTTTGATTCCCATGATGCAGAATACCTTAGTAATTATCAAGTTCATGGTTGGATATGTGGGCAAGGGCCCACCAGCCTGCCAGCCCCTGACTCCCTGCCTCTGTGCCAGATGTGGATGAGTGTGAGCTGGGCACACACAACTGCCAGGCAGGCTTCACGTGCCAGAACACCAAGGGCTCCTTCTACTGCCAGGCACGGCGCTGTATGGAGGGCTTTCTCCAGGACCCAGAGGGCAACTGTGTGGGTGAGTGGGGTGGAAAGCGCCCTGCCCTGGGTGTCTTTCGAAAGGGTTGTCGGCCGGGGACTCTGAGGGTTTAGAGATCAAGGAGATCTGGCTTGCTGTTCTTATTCTCGCCTAGACCCAGGAGTCACCTGCAGATCAGAAGCTTTTTTCCTGAACTGTTAAACCTTGGCTGAGTTACTTCTCTAGTCCTCAGTTAACCCATCTGTGAGGTTGGACTGGACGAATGTATATCCAGTTTCTTTCAACCCAGTTAATAGGAAGGATATATTTTATATCTTGACATGACTCGCGTGCACATACACACACACACACACACACACTACTGGAACATAAGCCTTACAGAACATTACTGCACGTAGTACAATAATGGGACCTGGAGGCTGATTGCATGTGTACCCATGGGTTGAGATCTGCAGTTTGACCAGATACTGGCCTCGTAGTCCCCATGTGGATCTGATGAAGTCATCTCTCTTCCACGGCTTCCAAAGAGCCCGTGGTCTGCAGCCTGGAGGCTCCATTCACCCAAGGCTGCTGACCATGAGGCCTGGAGGCAGAGCATCAGTACCACAAAGGACAGGCACCATCAAGGCAACACTCACCTGGGGAGGGAAGACAGAGGGAAGTGGAGAGGCAGGCACTGCGTGGGCCAGCCACTGGTGCACACAGAAATGGCTATGTTAGAATACAGCTCTGTCACGGCATGTGGGATGTGTATCCCCATCTTACAGGTGAACACTTCATCTGAAAGCTTTCTTAAGACTCTTTGGGGATCCTTCTAGCCAATTTGAGATGTGGAGCACTTCCTGAGGCACTCCCTTAACAACAATGTCCCAACATTGTCACAGGATATGGGCAACTTCTCAGGACACTTTAAGCTGTGGACATAAGAAGGTTGCTTTGGTTTGCCCTGAGACACCCCAACAGGGTCTGGGCAAGGTGGGGCTGCCCGACTGCAAGCATTCCTCAATGATTCACTCACTGAAATTTCCTTAGCCTCTGCTAGATGTCTGGGTGGACAAGACATCTGAGAGGGGAGAGATTAAATAAGCAAACACATTTATACAAGTGGCAGCTATTCAAGGGTGCTTTCTTCAGTAATAAAACAAGTAGGGATATAAGCTAAAGGGTTTCTCTACCTACAGTGGTCAGGCAGGGCATCCCTGAGGAGATGACATTGGGGCAGTGCCTGAGGAAAAAGGGAACCAACCATGAAAATATTAGGAGGTAGTGTGCCAGAGGAGGGGAGACAGCATGTGCAAAGGCCCTGCTTGGTGCTGTGCCCAGGCCTGGTGGGAGACCAGCGAGTGAATTTGACAAGCTGGCAGGTTTGGAGAGGCCAGAGATGGGTGTGACTTGCCACAGTTATCCTAGAAGTCAGCCTTATCTCCCTCCACCCCCTGGCTCTAGCTGCTCTGTTAAAAAGCAACTGGCAGGTGCTTGGGTTCCGAAAATTGGAGCCTTTTGTGCCATGGAACAATCTGACCCCATTCCTAACTTAGGCTGATCTGGAGCCTAGGACTGGCCTCCTCCCAGTGAAGCCCTGGACTCAGGTGCTGGGGCTGGGGAGGGGCTGTGCCAAGCTCCCTGTCACCCATACCCACTTCTGCAGACATCAACGAGTGTACATCACTGTCTGAACCATGCCGCCCTGGCTTCAGTTGCATTAACACAGTGGGCTCCTACACATGCCAGCGGAACCCACTGCTCTGCAGACGTGGCTACCATGCCAGCCAGGATGGGACCGAATGTGTGGGTAAGGCCAGACAGCTCTCTGTCCCCGCCCCCCCTTCCGCCCTCCCCAGCCAGCCTTTGCCATCCTGGGTTCCTGGCCTGTGGGAGACCTCTGTAGGGAGCGAGCTTGGGCCTTAGGACATCTTTCTTACCTTCTCCTGGCAGATGTGAATGAGTGTGAGGCAGGCATGCACCACTGCAGAGAGGGCCAGGTGTGCCACAACCTCCCTGGCTCCTACCGCTGCGACTGCAAAGCCGGCTTTCAGCAGGATGCCTTTGGTCGGGCCTGTGTAGGTAGGTGGAGGCTGGTTGCCAAGACCCCTACCTAGCTCCCTTGAGTGGTGCCTATCTGCCCCAGGCCAGCCTTCTGGCCACCTCCCCCTTTCTAAAAGCCCCTACCTACCCTGCGCACTCTGGGCTTGACTGTTCTCCTGCCTCTTGTCTAGCCGTGGCTCTGCTCCCTCTGCTCTTCTCAGCCTTGTCTCCGTTGCCCTCTTCTCTTGCCCCTTGCTATGTCTATCTGTCCCTCTGTCTCCAGTCTCCCTCCAACACTCTCACTGCCTTTCTCTTCTGTCCTCAGTTTTTTTGCTCCCTCGTCTCTGTCTGGCTCTCTCCCTATCTCTTCTGGGTCCCTGGATTCCTCTTCTAGTTTCCTCTTATACCGGGGATGGAGGGAGCCAACTTCCGGGAGTTGCCCACCCGCCTTTGCGGCCTGCTCACAGATGTGAATGAATGCTGGACTTCCCCTGGCCGCCTATGCCAGCACACATGCGAGAACACACTTGGCTCTTACCGCTGTTCCTGCGCCTCCGGCTTCCAGCTGGCTGCTGATGGCAAGCACTGCAAAGGTACTGCTGACCCAACCCTCTTCTCCAACCCTCCTCACTTTCTTCCTGGGGAGGAGAATCTGATGAGAACTTTGGGGAAGCTGTGCACCTCTCTCTGACCACTGGGCCTGGCAAAGGAGCTTGCCCTGCCATGGAACAGGACCAGGCCAGGATAGAGGCCCAGCTGTATCAGACAGCATTTGAGTGGACTCCCAAACCTGATCTTATTCTCACTCATTCACTCATTTGTTTTATAATCACATGTGAGCACCTCCTGTGCCTGGCTGTTGTAGGGATGGAGCCTCTTCCTCTGAGGCATTGCCGTGGTCATTCATTCATTTTATGGCTCTTAAGCCTTCACACACCCTATCCCTACCTAATGCCCTTTCTCCACTGCTCTACTGGCTGATGTTAGAACCTCAGAGATGAAACCAGTGTGGCCTCTGGGCCTGGAAGCTTAGAGCTTGGTAGAGGAGGTCATTCATTCATTCTATGTGTTGTGAGGTCCTGAAGATCTAGATGGGAATCAGTTGCCTGCAAGGCCCTGCCCAATCTGATTTTCCTCCTCCCACTCCCTGCACTCACTCTGTTCTGACCACACCCACTGGTCCTTGAGTACAACACACATGCGCCAAGTGCCATGTGCCATCTCAGGGTCATTGCTCTGCCTAGAATGCTTCCCTCGATACCCACATGGCTTCAAAATTGCAGCCCTCCCAGACACAGTCCCTGCTTCATTCTCTGCTCTTTCTCTGTTGCACTTGCTACCTTTTGACACACTGGTTATCCTACTCATTTAATTAGCTCCATCTCTCCTCCATTCCTCTGAAGCATAATCAGTGGGATTTTATTCCTCTTCTTCATGGCAACATGCCCAGGGCCAGCAGTTCTTAGCTGGGTGAATGAAAGACCCATCTTGCCCGCAGAGTCCAGTCAGTGTTTCATCGAAGCCTGGAGGCGACCCTTCACTCATTGTTCTGCCCACATTCTCCTGCACATCAGCACTTGCACCTCCTCTCCCCCATGCAGTGGCTGATGTTAGAGGCCTGAGGGGTTCCTTGTTAGCACCTGGGTGGCACTTGGAGAGCCATGTGTGTCATGTGCTGAGGACCTTCAGTAGAGAAGCATCTAGTTCCTGACCAGGGATCTGAGTCCAACCTGTGGCTGCTTCTTCCAGGCAGCAGGTCAGGCCAGGACTTCATAGTAAGTCCAGCCCTGCCCCTGACCAGCTGCCTGCCCCAGGTGAGCCACTTGTCCTTACCTGGGCCTCTGATTCCTCATTTGCTCAAGGGGTGGCTGGAACTAATGCTCTCTCAAGAAACATCCCAGGTGAGCCTGGAGTCTGGTTCTCATCTATGGGTTAGGGGATTCCACTGTGACCGCCACTGGTCTCCCTGTAGATGTGAACGAGTGTGAGGCCCAGCGCTGCAGCCAGGAGTGTGCCAACATCTATGGCTCCTACCAGTGCTACTGTCGCCAAGGTTACCAGTTGGCCGAGGATGGGCACACCTGCACAGGTACCTCAGCTCTGCCCAGGGATCCTTCCTGAGAGGCACCCCTTCCCTGACTACCTGGCTCTCAGAGTCTCTGCTTGGCCAGGGATACAGAGGACACTCAGAGGCTTTAGTATCAAATCAGAGTTGGAATCCAATCCTTGTGACCTCTGGCTGTGTGACTTTGGGAAGATGCTTTCTGATTCTAAACTTAGGCTCCTCCCCTGCAAAGTGGAGACCTGGTCCTGACCTGAGTGGGATGAAGGGATCAGTTGAATGTGCCCAGACCTGTGTTTCATACATGATTATTCCTTAGCTGGTAGTATGTGTGTAGCAGCCCCAGGGAGAAGCACTAGAATGGGAGTCCTCTTTTTGCTGTGTGGCTTTGGGCAAGTCTCTTCCTCTCTCTGAGCCCTGTTGTCCTCTGTAAGATGGACCCCTGAGTTCACATGGCTGTGAGTGGCTGGGCTCTGCCTTGGGCAGAGTCACAGAGTAAACCTCTCTCTGGCAGACATCGACGAGTGTGCTCAGGGTGCTGGCATCCTTTGTGCCTTCCGCTGTATCAACGTACCAGGGAGCTACCAGTGTGCATGCCCAGAGAAGGGCTATACCATGATGGCCAACGGCAGGTCGTGCAAGGGTAAGCAAGGGGTCCCCGTTCAGAGCCTCAGCTGATTTAGAAAACCTCATACAGCATTCTGTGCACTTGGAGCTCTGACACCAAGGGCATAGTACAGAATGGCCAGTGCCTCTGCTGATCTGTGGCTGGGATGGGAAAGGTGACAATCTTTCTGCTTCTTAAGCCAGCTTAGAATTTTCCAGACTTGAACTCAGCTCTGGGCCTTGCCCTAGGAGCAGGACAGAGATCCTGTGGGTGGTTAGAGACCTGTCTAGTGAGAAGTCTGCAGAAGAACAGCCTCAGGGGTCCCAGTCTCTGTTCCCAAGTGTTCAAGATGCTATTCAGGCCAGCCAGGTCTTTGTACTCAGAGGATGAGGTGGGTCCCCTAAGTTAGGCAAAGGGATCACAGAGAGGCTTATCCCAGAAACACATGCTGAAAAGACTCCCCGGTCAGCGGTATACAGGGCTGGGAAGGGATACAGAGGAGAACATGGGTTCCCTGGCACTGGGGACATGCAGAGAGGGTCTGGGCAGTCACCTGTTAAATGTGCAATCGAGGGACTCTTCCCTGGATGGGAAACCAGGTTCTGAGACATCTAATCTTCTAAGTTGGAGGCCATCAAATTCTGGCAAGTGACCAGTGCAAGGTGGAACGGTCTGGAATCCACCTGGGGCAGGTTATAACAGCAGCACTGGCAATCTCCCTGGGAAAACCAACCATGTTCAATAGGTGCTCATGAACATGCTACTGAGCTCCTCAGAGCATGGCCACCTGTGCCTCCTGGCATGCATGACCAAGTCTTTCCAGACGGTGGAGCTGAGAGCCTCAAGGCCGCTGGGTTGCAGCTTTGGTTTCCTGGTGCTTCTGCGGGACCAGGAATCTGGGCTGAGGCTTGGATGGGTACAGAGCTAGACCATCGGTTGCTGCCTATAAGTGAATCCTGAGATCAAATTCATAGGTCTCAGCCAGCTGTGTGTGTGTGTGTGTGTGTGTGTGTGTGTGTGTGTGTAGAGTGGAATATAGAATCAAGTAGGGTGGAATAGACGTGAGGTAGGTCAGAGTGCACTGTGCCCATAAGGCTTGTTTCAGTTCACATATGTGCCCTTAGTCCCAGTGCAAAAGGATTCTTTACAATAGGTTGATGTAAATTAATAATAATAAATTAAAAGGTTCTGAGAGAAAACAGGTAAATTAGGACTTGGAGGCCTGTTGGACTCACTCATAGAAGCTGACCTCAGCCTCCCTGCCTGGCTGCTAACCACACTGCTTTTTAATTTAAAAAATAATTGGTATAGACTTCATAAAAGGTAGGGATTTCATCCACCATAAACTGAGCTGTGTGGAAAATACTGTATATTCCCAGAATATGACTTCATTCTTGAGATCGAGGCTCTGTCTGTAAGGGAAAAAAAGTGTGGTCACTTCTAAGAAGGTTGTCAGAACCGAGTGACTTTTGCTCTTGATGGCAATTTAGGTTGAAAACCTGGTCACATTTAAGACTGTCTCTCCTTGGCCCCTCCTCCCTGGCATGCTAGCCAGGGTCAGAGGAGTGCCCAGATGTCCAAGGTACCTGTGCTATACCAGAGGGCTCACTAGGCCCAGGCTGTGCTGGCTACAGGTGCATCTGATCACAGTGCTGATCTTGCCCTTTTGTCCCCTCACAACATAACCAGTGGCCCACTTCTATGAGAAGCAAAAGAGCTGGTGAGGCGCAGGTCTCCTCTGTAGTCCAAGCTGCATCATCAGTCACCACCGGAAGGTCCTCCACACATGACAATTTTATTTTCTGTCCAAACTTTTTGCTGAAAGAGCCTGCTGTCACAGTTGGACGGGGCAGAGCTCGAATGCTGGTTCTACCTGGTCATGTCTGCTTCCCAAGTCATGTGTCCATGTGGTGCCCTGTCTGTGGCCACTGACCTTTGAGCTGAGCAGTTGCTCCTTTGTGCTCCCTGGTCCTGTTCTGACTTGGACTAGGCACTGAGTCTCAGGGCTCCAGTAGGGGGAGAACTGGGGCAGTGTGTGCTGGCCAGTGTCCCATGTCAGCACCTGTCTTCCTGAATAAGGAAGTGGAAAGAAAGAGGTTAGGGCATGAGAGTCAGCCCATCTCTGGAATATGTGTTGAGGGAAGGGCCTTGATGGTATTTGCTAGCATGTGGAGTGGTACCTAGCATATGATAGGTGCTCACCAGGACCAGCCTTGGTGGCTTTGTAATCAACTTTGACAGGTCATATTCCCATGGCTGACACCACTTATGCGGTCTGACCCCTATAATAACCACTTAATAAACCGCCCACCCTCCCCCGCCCCCACCCCCCAAAAAAGAAAGAAAAAAAGAAAGAAAGAAAGAAAGAAAGAAAGAAAGAAAGAAAGAAAGAAAGAAAGAAAGAAAGAAAGGAAGGAAGAAAGGAAGAAAGAAAGACAGACAGACCCAAATCTGGGTCAACTGTGAGGAGCCAATGGCTGCCTAAGAGCAGAGCTTTTGATGCTGACTGGCATAGAAACCGACAAATCAGAACCAAATTGGCTGTCAGAGGAGGAAAGTTGGGTCGAGATCAGGCCTGCAGGGGAGGGCAGTTGGGGGGCAAAATAAGGCCAGCAGGGGAGGACAGTTAGGGGCAATATCAGGCTGACAGGGGAGGGCAGTTGGGAGCAACCAGACAGTCAGGCAGGCAGAGGCAGTTGGGGGTGAGATCAGGCCAGCAGGAGAGGGAAGTTGGGATGAAATCAGGCTGGCAGGGGAGGGCAGTTAGGGGTGATCAGGCAGGCAGTCAGGTGAGCAGTTAGGAGCCAGCAGTCCCAAATTAGGGATTGGGCTTAAACCAGCAGTTGAACATCCCCCAAGGGGTCTCTTATTGGAGAAGGTGCAGGCTGAGCTGAGGGAACCTCCCCTTCTGTGCACAAATTTCGTGCACCAGGGCACTAGTAATTAATAATAATGCAGGAGTAAACTCTTTTGTTTAGTCACAACTATAGATCTACTCTTTGCCCCACATAGAATATAGTATTAACTAAAATCATGGGGAAAATAACCTGGAATCTTGCTTTCTTAGTGTATGTGAAGCTTTTACCAGCATTCACCTCAATATGGGCTAGCTTTTAGCAATGCTGTTAGTCTCCCCGCTGACTCAGTCCCCCATTTCTGCATGGCTACAGTGGCGCCCCTGGGTGTCCGGCCCTATTGGGCTCTCCCTTTCACTTCAGCTCTCCAGGAGAGGCTTCAGAGTCAAAGCCCCGCAGATGCCAGGGGCCTTGTAGCACCAAAAGGCAAGGACCCTAGGGTCCTAGGGAAGTCTTGCAACAGCTTCCCCAGCCACTGACCCTTGGGTTCTTTCAGAAAACATCTGTTAATAGGGCCAGGGCAGCAGTAAGAAGCTGCTCCCACCCTGTTCCTGTTCCACCACACTGGGCTTCAGGGTCAGCACCTCCTGCTCCCTCTTTGGTGGCCAGCAGTGTCGAATGAGGAAAGGAGAAGGCCATCCCTACGTGTACATTCAATTATTGAATCATCAGGGCAGCAACCACACCCATCCTGACCCCACCACCTCTGGCCGCCTGCCATGTTTTCCTCCCAGATTGGGATCATGACATAGTTGGCAGAGAAGGAAAGTGGGGCTTGATGAGATGAATAGTGTGAGATGGTTTGAATTGTGAAGCATGGTAGGCAGAGCCTAGAGTGAAGCAGGCCAGAGTCCAGCCAAGGCCCTGCCCTTCCTGCAGCTGTATGACCCTGGGCACATCTGTGCAGGGGAGGTGATCCCACACCTGCCTCAGAGGATATGAGGATAGAGGAATAAGTAAGGGTGGCATGCCTTGAGCATTGAATGGACATAAGGTGGTAAACTTGGGGTACAAATTGGCTATTGTTGTCAGTACTTTTATGTTGTGGTTGCTATTGTTAGGAGTCAGTTTGGCATCATGACTGGGTCTCACATTTAGCATTAGGTGGACCTGGCTTCAGCCCCAGCTGCTGTGCTGTTGTGACCTTGAGCAAGGTCACATCCCTCTCAGATTTTCAGTTTCCTCCTCTGGGAGGCCAGTGATTCTTACCCTAGTGGGCTGGTAGAAGGGTTGGGTGAGAAGAATCCCTAAATGAGGTCAGTCTGGAGGACTGGAGAACAAATCTGCAGTTTTTCAGGGAAGTGCCTGGCAGCCCACGAAGCCTCTTTGAGCTGAGTGACTGATCTGTACACGAAGGTCTCTGGAACCCATTTACTTAATCCATGAGTCATCTGTGGAGCACACACACACACACACACACACACACACACACACACGCACACACACCTCGTGCTTGCTTCTCTGAGCGTTCCTTAGAGAGATTTACCCATGTGTTCGTGTGTGTGTTTTAGGTGTGTATGTGTGTCTGTGTAGGTGTGCTTAAGCACATGTGGTTGCCCAACCATATGCACAGGAAGCATGAACATGTCTGTGCAGTTTATGGGGCATTTGTGTCTGTGAATTCGGAGTCTATTTACAGCTGATGAATCTTGAACTTCCATCCAACAATACCTGGAGAGTACATGCTCTGTTGGCCCTCTGTTGGGCTGGCAGCACCACAGGATTGAGGAAAACCCTCTCCCACTGCCCTACTGGAGCCCACACTGAGGCCAGGGAGGGTGGAAACTAAACAGATAAACAAAATATGTAGGTGTGTTTGAAAGCAGGACTAGCAGTACAAGGAGAATAAAATGGCTTGAAATGGAGGGTCATGGGGGATAGTCAGGGAGAACATCCTGTAGGATATGACCCTGAGCTGAGACCTGAAAATGAGAAGGAACCAACCTTGGGAAGATGTGAGGAAAGTGTTGCAGCAGTGGAAACAGCATGTGCAAAGGCCCTGAAGTGGGACAAGGGTCAGGGCATTGGGGAAGCTCAGAGGGATCTAGCAGAACTGTATCCTGAATGGAAGGAGAGGGGTTGCACTGTAGGGCTTGGTGTCAGTGGGAGCATGGGAAGCCCTCAGTGATCATGACAAAAGATCATTTTAAAGCCAGGTCCTCTGGTTGCTTGCTGGGCGTGGAGGGGACTGGATGGGATGTGAGTGGCATAGTCTAGAACTGTGAGCTGTAGTCTTGCAGTCAGGAAGAGCTGCTCTGAGGCCCAGGCCTCAGCTTCGGTGATTCAGACAAGGGTCCCCAGCTGTGGGGGAATCCATCCCATGACTTTCCTCTCCTCCCCTCAGACTTAGATGAGTGTGCACTGGGCACCCACAACTGTTCTGAGGCCGAGACCTGCCACAACATCGAGGGCAGCTTCCGCTGCCTGCTCTTCGAGTGTCCTCCTAACTACATTCGAGTCTCTGAAACGTGAGTGTCTCCACCCCAGCCCTTGGCCCAGGAACCCTGCACAGATACCATGCTGCCCAGGGGAGAGGCCAAGAGGCCGTGGCCCCTGCCTTAACCACCTCCTGCTCTTCACCTGCCCCCACTGCAGAGTCTATAGTCAAATTGACCACAAATGGCACAAATGAAAGCACCTTCCAGAAAGTTCAGAGTCTAGAGAATGAAGAGAAGGTGCATAGAAAATCTCTCTCCCTATCTTTCTCACACATGCACATACATGCCACGTTTGTTATTTATTGCTGTGTAACAGGTTATCCTAACAGCACCTTAACCTGACAACCAGTTATTCTTTAAATAATTTTGGAAAATCAAGAATCCCAGGATCAGCTTAGCTGGATGGTTCTGGCTCAGGGTCACATGGGGCTGCAGAATCCAACATCCAATCACATGGTTCTGGTCAAGGGGTCTCAGCTCCTCACCATGTGGGCCTGTCCATGGATATGTCTTCCCCAGCACAGGTCATTGAGAGAGTGAGGGACATTTTGCAAAAGTGACACATTCAAATAATAGGCCCTGGCCAGTGTGGCTCTATGGTTAGAGCATTGGCCCATGGACCAAAGAGTTTTGGGTTTGATTCCCAATCAAGGGCATGTACTTGGGTTACAGGTTCAATCTCCAGTCCCAGTTGGGGTGCCTGCAGGAGGCAACCAATCAATGTTTCTTTCTCATGTTCGTTTCTCTTTCCCCTTCTCTAATAAATAAATAAATAAATAAATAAATAAATAAATAAATAAATAATGGAAAAATACCTTTGGGTGAGGATTAACAAAAAAAATTTTCAAACAATAAAAGTGTGCCAACCAAAGTTGCTCAGCAGATCATACAGTTGCTGACTGGTTGGAGTGTGTCCATTTTCTCTTTGGTTTGAACATAAAGTGCACACAGCTGCCCTGTCCCTGGTGCACTCAGCCATTCTCATCTAGTTTTTTCTGCCTTGCAGCTCTTGTGTCTGTATGTAGCCTGTCCCAACTGGGGTTTCCTGCATGCATCTATCCATAATTCATTTACTGCTGTCCTGCTGACAGTTTCCTATTTTCCACTATTATACCTGGGGAATGTCCATGTGCATGTGTGTTGGGACATTTTAGGGAGTATGTCTAGGGGACCCTGGGCAAGTGACCTTCCTTCTCTGGGTCCTTGCTGCCTCATCTGCAGCATGGGAGTGATAGCAGCACTGTGGGTTGTTGTGAGCATCAGATGAATGAAGATGTAAGTTTCACACAGTGGATGGCATGGTATAAATGCCGTGTCTGTGCTACTGGCTGTATTGCTCCTGGGCTGGCCTTGTGCTGTGGCCTTCTGCTCAGAAGATCTCTAGAGTTTCTGAGCTTTGGTGCCTAAACAGCATCCTATTTTGGAAGTAGAGAGTTTTTATATTGCTCTAACAATGGAGATGCCGGTGGCTCAGAGGGCCAAGATGAGGTCAGATTGTTGCTATGCTTAAAAATTGAGGCCTTGGCCCCCTAGGGTTTGGCTTTGTCACCACCCTCATCCAGCAGTGCTGGTCTTGAGGCTTCTACCTGAAAAATGGCAGGGCATCCCAACTCAGAGTAGGAAATGGCCCAGAAGCAGTCAATTAATAGAAGAAAAGAAATTTGGAAAACGATTGCAATAATAAAATCACTCTGGCCTGGGAATCTATTCTAATGGACAGTGTGCCAGTAAAGAAAAGGCAGAGAGGAAGGAGCATAGGGGTGCACCAGAGCTGCTAGAGAGCTGTGCCAGGCACTGTAGAGGGCACTGCATGTGTATAAACTTACTCCACACTCATCCCTTCTCCCAAGAAAATAATCTTACAGATGAGGAAGCTGAGACCTGCATAGTAAGGAGACTTAGCAGATGCTACAAGGCTACTAAGAGTAGAGCTGGGGCCAGCTGGCCCTTGAGCCTGCCTCCACCATATCCAGGATGGTGGACAGGAGGGGTGGGAGAGCCCAGGATAGTTGTTTGGGAGCCCTGGCCCTCTGACCAAGCCCTGTGCATCCTGCAGGAAATGTGAGCGCACCACGTGCCATGACTTTTTGGAGTGCCAGAGCTCGCCAGCTCACATCACGTACTATCAGCTCAACTTCCAAACTGGCCTCCTGGTACCGGCTCACATCTTTCGCATCAGCCCAATGCCCGCCTTTGCAGGGGACACCATTGCCCTCACCATCACCAGAGGCAACGAGGAGGGCTACTTCGGCACACGCCGGCTCAATGCCTACACAGGTGTTGTCTACCTGCAGCGATCAGTGCGTGAGCCCCGGGACTTCGCCCTGGATGTGGAGATGAAGCTCTGGCGGCAGGGCTCTGTCACCACCTTCCTGGCCAAGATGCATGTCTTCTTTACCACTTTTGCCCTGTGAAATGCCTGCCTGAGTGACTGTGCAGGTCTGCAGCACTTGGGTGCCCCTGATGGTCCCTGTGCCACCCTCTATACCACTCTCCACTGCACCTCTTTCTTTGGGTGCTCAGCACCGTGTGGGTGGGGCCTGGTTTGCTACAACTGGAAATTAGCCTAATTTTGCTAAATGGATTTCTCTCAGGTTTCTGGGAGGGATCTTGGCAGCAGGAGGTCAAGAGCAGCTCAAGGTCACTTCAGGTGTCTGTGGGTGGAGTGAGAGGACCAAAGGCTATATGACGATTAATGGCGGGAAACAGACCATGGACTCAACTGGATGGCCTGTCCCCAAAGTTGACATTCTATTTCATGTTTTACTGTGATTACTTTTCACTTTAAAAAATCATCTTAAGTGTTTTTGTTTAATTATAAAAGTAGTACATACATACTGCAAACATTTTCAAGTAGTACAAAAAGGTTATAAAGTAAAAAGTGACAAAAGAAAAATCCTTATTTCTGTCAAGTGTTTGAATCTGATGGTGTGTCTGAGGGTCCTGGGTCCCAGCCTGGGTGTTGAGTCAGTTTGTTCACTAAGAACCTCCTTGATGTCTGATGAAAGGAATAACTCCAAAGTAGGAGTCCCATTGAGATGACAAGTTTGTGGTGTAAACATGCTGGCGTTCTGGTCCCGTCTTGTTTCACCAATGCTTCTCCCTCCTTTCCCCTTTTCTTCTTCTCTTTCCCCAGTGTGGCCCTCAGCTGGTGTGTCACCTCTCAAAGTGTGGCCCTAGGTTGGTATGTCATATCCCCAAGTGTGTCCCCCGACTGGTGTGTCATCTCCCCAAGTGTGGCCCTCAGGTAATATGCCACTTTGGATATTGCTGAGAAACTCCAGTACTGATCCCTCTCGCTAAGGCCTATACACATCAGGTCAGGCAGAGGCCTTGGGCAGGATCCTGAGAGATGAGAGAATTCATTTTTCTTCTGCACTGTGCACTGGGGGCTCTTTGAGGCTGTAGTAAGGAGGAGGCCTCAGGTGGGAGAATCCCCAGACACACACTTGCTACTGCTCTTGGCCCTGTCTCTAAAGCAGAGATTCCAGCTGTGAGAAGTGTGTGGTTCTGTGGGCCTGTGTGTAGTGGACATAGTGGACATCAGCTGGTGTTGAAAAAATGGAACAGGGCACTGTCAGTACTCTATCCCTGATGAAGAAGGCATGGTCAGGAAACAGCAGGGCGTGTGTCACACCCCCAATGCCACTGTCCCAGGGCCTTCTCCCAGCTTACAAGTGCTCCCCACGCGCCCTCGGTCAACTGACATCACTCCCAGGATTTCATCTATTTCTGGGGGTAGCCCCTATGTTTCTCTCCAGGATGCTATGCCAGGGAATCAGCACAGTCTAGCTTGGCACCAGCTCATCTGAGGCTCTCCTTATGTGAGAGTTTTCAAGGTTCAGTGATTCTAGGCTGGAGAACAAGTGTCTACAAGGGTGTCCTCACTTCAGATGCCAGACAGAAGCTGGAAGGTTCCCACAACCACCCTCACTTTCAAATATCAGGCTTTCGCCCTCAGGATATGTCACTATCCTGCAGAATGGGTGACAGTGCACCCAGTGTTGTCCACCCTGGGAGCCTTTGGTGCCAGCATTTCCATTGGAGCTCGGTCACATACTGTGAGCGTGGCTGGCCTTCAGTGTCCAGTCCCTCCTAAAGGTGAGAATAATATGGCATATCCCAAAGCTCCTATCATAAGCCACATTATTAGACTATCCAGGGCCCAACATCCCCAGATAAACACACTTCAGTCAGGACTTTCCAATGCCTAGACCTCACCACCCTGTAGCCAAGGGCAAAGGCCAGACTTTAGGGAAGAGAGAGCCAGTGCCCCCTGCCTCTAATGTAGGCTTTCTTACAGGACGATGGTATTTAGGCATGTACACTTAGTATTACTTGTTACCTCTCTTGATCTGCTAAATGTGCCTATGATAAATATGTGCAGAACCATTTAGCATAGAAATGAGTGAATGGTTCCTCAGGCCATCCCCCATCCTGAGAAGGCCATAACTCAGTGCTCCAGCATGTGGCCAGTGGTGTAAGCATAACCTTACCATCAATGCCAGTGCTGTTCCACACTGCAGCAGGTGAATGACCTGGAAAGTGAGACTGGGCCCATTCAGTTATTAGCCATTCAGCCAGTCCATCAAAATGTCCTCCACAGTGAGGTCACTCAGATTTGCCACTTCCATGTCAGGTTTCAAAAGCAGGAATGGACTTGGCTTTGCCTTTCAGGCATCTGGTATGATCGAGATGAATCTGTGTCCTTTTTCTCCAAATCAATTGAGATAACATAATACTGGCCCAATGTTCTGCTGGGTTTCCCTCATTTATAACCCATTTACCCCCTTTCTCTCAGCTCTCTCCACCTGCACTCCAGTTCTTCCACCCTTGTATGGGGCCTTAGGTTTGGCCCCTGTTTTGATCTAGATTACAGGCAGCAACACTAGCCTAGCAAGTGCCTCTCTAGTCTACTCCTGCCCTGATAGGGTGTGATCATACAGAACTTCTGGGCCAATTCCACCAGCAGGCATTCTACCGCTTTCACTCTCCATCTAGATTCTGCCAGATGTTGATAAAGGCAGTATCCACCCTGTCTGGCCCTTAGGAATTGTGACATCAATGATTAGAATTTTAGTCACAGTTTTTTGCTTAGGAATCCTCCCTCCTTCTGGCACCCATAGTTGCAGCCTTGCTCCTGGGACAACAGCATCAGATAGGAACAAATCAAGTTGTGATGATGTAGGAGGGGAAAAGTCATACCAGTCATACCAGCATCCTTCCCCTGTGGAAGAATTGTGTCATCATAACAGCCCCGCCTCCCCCCAGATCACCTAGAAAAGCAGAAAAGTCTATTCAGGGGGACCTGCCCTTGGCCCCCTCATGGTGAGTGTAAGCATACTGCTGATAGCATGTAAGCCAGCCCTTCATGTCTGCATCTCCACCCATTTTTTTTTTTTAGAAAACCGGTTTTAATCCTCTATCTAGCCATTACTCCAAGGAAGATCTCTCTGCTTGCTGTTGGACACTGATCTGTCACAAGTGTTCCTTGGTCTAATGAAATGGGAAAGGTGATTCAAACTGGCATGTCTGTTGTTCCAATAACATCCAGTATCAAGCATTTCCTTCTGCTGGCTGCCATGTGAAGCCCAGCCCAGCGACCTCTTCCTGCCAGGATCTCTCTGTAGGGTCTGGGAGCTTTCAGAATTAGTCCATTCTCCAGCAGTGCTCAGGGACTTTCCCCAGGGGATCTTCTGTCTCTAGTTGACAGGACAATTCTTGTTGATGTTTTGTGCCTCAGAGGGACAAGAGGAATGTGTTCCTGCATTGCTGAAGCCCCATAGGTCCCCTTGTTTTGTGAACCCAGATGGCTACCTCAGTGTACACTAGTACACCTGCTTGCCAATTCCAATTTATTTCTGGTCCTAGAAGGGAGTTCTTTTAATGGGCCTCAGCATGTCCTCATGTAATGTACCCTCAAATCCCCATATTGATCTCCATAGAACTTGACCCACATGGGCACCCTTTTAATAAACCCGTTTACATTGCTTTTCTTCTGACCATGCCATTGGCACCACCCATGAGTCAATGAAAAAAACAAACTGGGCAAATGGCATGCAGCCAGCCATTTGCTCAGTTTGTCTGCTGACTTGTTATACTTTCTTCCCTCAGAAGGTCAGCCTTCCAACAAGATGTTGTCCATATATCTTAAAGCTGCCATCCATAAACCAAGCAGCTTCTTTTGGTTAATCAAGAGCTTTCAGCCCAGATGGTGTGGCTCAATGGTTGAATGTTGACTTATAAACCAGGATGCCACAGTTCCATTCCCAGTCAGGGCACATGCCTAGATTTTGGGCTCAATCTCCAGTAGGGGGCATGCAGGAGGTGATTCCAGACTCAGGTGATTCCAGACTCAGTCAAAGGGGGCACATCTCTTTGCTTGTGATTATGCAGAGTACCTTCCAGCACTGCCCTAGTAGTATCTTCCTGCACAAACCATGTCCATTTTATCACAGAACTCTTCTGGATACTCATTGGCTCTCCTCATTAGAGCTTTCCTTCGAAACCACCCACACAGGATGGGAATGTCAAGTTTCAAGACTAGTTTATGGTTTTCAGTCATAAGAGTAGTCTCAGTTTAGGCCATGTCCAATTGTCTCAATGGAAAATTTCTGGACCCACGTTTCAGCAGCTGTATTGCTATGCCATAAGCCTGAGTCTGTGGGAGGACTCCAAGACTTTGTTGGATCAGTTTTATGTATAGAAGCTAGCAGTGTTCCCAGATGTGGGATATATGTCCTTCAAAACCCAATTAACCTGACAAGTTGCTGGTCTTCTAACATGTTTTGTCCACCAGTATTGCCTGGAGGCAGACATCAATGGCTTATTTTATAACTGGCTAGATAAGCCCAAGTCAGATACAATGTCTATCTCAGGATGCACTCTTATCAAGGAGACAGCTATGACGTCTGCTCACACATCCCACTGCACATCTAAATGTTCACCTTAATCCCATCAGCCATTGCATTTCCGTATTCTCCCAACCCAACTATAGCTCCATTAGGACTTTATTAAAAATCTTTTGGAATCACAGTGCATTGGTATCTCATAAAACAAGTGCTGGGGTGACACATGGGCTCAAGAGCATAGTTGCCAATCTACCAAAGCAGATCTGGCAGCTGCTGCTACCTCAGCAACAGAGGAACACTGAGCCAAGTACATCACTGGCCACTGGCAGCAAGGGAACTGTGTTGGCCCCTTTCCATCTTGGGATAGAAGCACTCTCTGAAGGCTTCAGAGTGTCTAACCCTCTGGCATCCTGTACAATCTGTCTGGGTCTGATCCACAGTGAAGCAGCTGAAAGACTAGCCCATGACCATGGGACCCACTGTTCATGCACAAACTACATGACCCAGAGGCAGCCTCATAGAGCATGTGAATAGCTTTCTAAAGGTGAGTGAAATACTGGCTT